GTCTTACCATCTGACCACTTTCTGGTTGCAACCACAAGTTGAGTAGTTGGGACAGACTTTAGGGTGCACGAAGTTTGAAATATTACTCTCTGGCCTTTTACAGATAAAAAAAAAAATGCCAATCCCTGATTTAGAAAAGACTAGAAGAAAATACCAAAAGAAGTAGAAGTTTTCTTTGAATAGTAGAATTATAGATCTGTTTAGTCTTTTCTGTTTTTTTGTTTTGTTTTTGCTTTTTGTATTTTGTTGTAGCCCACTTAATATATGGAAACAAAATAGCTCTGTAAATATTTAAAAATAGTATTTAGGACATTTTTAATAGTGGGTTTTTTTTTCTCTCCCCGCCCCGTAGTTCTGCTTTTGACACAAAAACTGGGTTGCGTGTGGCAGTGAAGAAGCTGTCCAGACCTTTTCAGTCCATCATTCATGCCAAAAGGACCTACCGAGAGCTGCGGTTACTTAAACACATGAAACATGAAAATGTAAGTTCTTCATTCAAGGAGAATGCACTCTGGTCTTGAATGCACTGAAAAATTGTGTTTTAATTACTGCAAGCAGCAGTGCTTTGGAGTGGTTCCAAGTTTGGTTCCTGCTCCTGTGGGTACTGGGGTATTAGTGGCCACTGGGTTATGTCAGAATTAAATGGTGCCTCTTCCTGGAGTTCTGGTTTCATTCGAAGATTTCTACAGGGAACCCCTTTTTGAAGTTTAACATAAAAAGGATACATCATGAAGTACATAATTAAGAATGTTTAGCCAGGTGTGGTGCTGCACGCCTAAAATTGTAGCACTCGGGAGACTGAAGCAGGAGGATTGCTGTGAGTTGGAGGTCAGCCTGGGCTACATAGAGAGACCCTATCTCCAAAAAAAAAATGCCCGGAGATTTAGCTTAGTGGTTCTGACACCTGCCTTGCAAGCACAAAGACCAGAGTTCAGTCCTTGGTACCAAAAAAAGAAAATGTTAGGGCTGGAGGCTTGGCTTAGTCGTACTGCCTGCCCTGGCAGGTGCAAGGTCTTGAGTTCAATCCCCAGTTCTGCAAAAAAAAAAAAAAATTGTATTCTTTTCTTTGCCTAATTTGTATATGGTTACACTACCAGAATATGGAGGCTCATGGCTGTTAAACTAGAAAAACTGAGGAGTACTATCTTTGGCTCACCGAAAGTCCCTGGAAAGATGGACATTATTTTACATGTACCCTTGGCCTTCCATATCCATAGATTCTGTTTGCATCGATAGATTCAGCTGACCACTTTTTGTGCGGGGGGGGGGAGATGATGGCTGGGCGTGAGAAAGAAAATGTTAGGGCTGGAGGCTTGGCTTAGTCGTACTGCCTGCCCTGGCAAGTGCAAGGTCTTGAGTTCAATCCCCAGTTCTGCAAAAAAAAAAAAAAATTGTATTTTTTTCTTTGCCTAATTTGTATATGGTTACACTACCAGAATATGGAGGCTCATGGCTGTTAAACTAGAAAAACTGAGGAGTACTATCTTTGGCTCACCGAAAGTCCCTGGAAAGATGGACATTATTTTACATGTACCCTTGGCCTTCCATATCCATAGATTCTGTTTGCATCGATAGATTCAGCTGACCACTTTTTGTGCGGGGGGGGGG